TTGATATTACCCAAAAGAGATTAGCTCACTGATAATGAAGTATGATCCTCGTATTTCACTAGAATAAAACAATAATGATATATGCGGATGATTAATTTTAGTCTTATTAAAGGCATGAGACTCAGATCAATAAAATTAATTTTAATTACAATAAAATTAAAAGAAACTCGGCGTGATTTACATTTTATAAGCAATAGGTCCATTGACGAAGAAAAAAGGAGACGAACCTTCTCACACTTCATGAACAAGATGTTCCAACCACATCATCCTCGATAATAATGCAGTAATTTCCACAAATGATGGTGATGGTGATAATAAATTTAAGGAGTGTCACTTACGTTGTTAGAAATTAGTCACATAAATCTGTTATTCAACCACAACAGCCTCTTATTTCTACTTTTCTAGACACATTCATGACCAGAATGCCTTAAATGAGAATGATTGAAGTTAACGATTGATTGATTTTAAGTTAGAAGGTAATATTATTTCAAATAATCTTTCATCAGTTGGTTCAAATAAGGAAGAAGAAGAAAGGAAATGAACGGCGCGAATAAAAATTTACAACTACATAATCCTCAATGATAATTTTTACAAATTATGGTGAGAATGATGTGGGAAATCAAGGAGTATTGAAATTTACCCCATTTAGTACGTATGTAAATTAAACCAATAGATTAAAAATTTATATTTTAATTCTTGGGTTAGTATTTATTTGGTAATTCCAGTCTCGGGTTACCATTTATCTGGTAATTCCAGTTTTTTAATCTAACTTAAAAAATTCATAATTAATTATAAAAAAAATTGTATTAAGCTGGTTTGAGTTGTAGATAGGTTGTACATAATTGAAGAATAGTTACGTTGTACTCCCTCTGTCCCCTTTTATAAGCAACCTTGGATTTCTTTATGTAGATCAAAAAGTTAGTTAAAGACAATAAATAGGTAGAAATTGAAAGTTTTGTCTCCAAAATACCCTTATTTATGGGTGGAGAGAGAGTATAAAAAGAGAACAAGAAAATTATTAGGGATAGTTAATAGTTTCAACTGATTTTTAATTATGTCCCTATAATTTTTTTCCTTTTTATCAGGTTCTTATAATTTCATATATTTTTAATCAGGTCCTTATAATTTTTTTCTTTTTATCAAGTCCTTATTTTTTTACATGATTTTTTATTAGGTCCCTGTAGTTTTTATTTTTTATTCTATAAATAAAAAATTATTATAATAATCTTATGTTAATATTGTTTTAAATCTTTAGTAAAAAGTATATATTATTTTTTAATTCTAATTTTTATAATTATAAAATTCAAATTATAATAATAAAATTTTCTAAAATTAGAATATAATTATAAAAAATTTATAGTCAAGTATAGTTGATTATTCTGATTAATTATTAATTACTTAATGATTATATTAATTATTTTGTCCAATATTAATTTAAAAATAAAATTAATTTTAAAGAATAAAGTTAATAAATAATTTTTTTTAAACTAAAAAGGACCTAATTAAAAAATAAGGAAAACTATAAGGACCTAATAAAAAGAGGAAAAAAAACAAAAAGACCTAATTAAAAACACATGAAAGTAAAATGATATGATAAAAAGAAAAAATTTTATAGGAACATGATTAAAAATCAGATAAAACTATAAGGACCCGGAGATTAATTATCCCAAATTATTATAATAAAAAGAGTTATGAAAGAAAGAGAATGTGTGATGGAGAGAGATGATGGTTTGAAAAATAAGATAATAAATATAGTGAGCATTAAAATAAATAATTAATGAGGGTAAAATAGGAAATTTGCCAGAAAAATTTAATACAACTCACATTACTTATATTTATGGACTTATAAAAGGAAAATGGTAGTTGTTACTTGTAAAAAGAGACGGAGGGAGTATTTGCTAAAATGAGTTGTACTGGGTTCCTTCAACAAATTTCACGTACTTCTAGGTAACAAAATACTTCCAATAGACACTTCTCAGCAAATTTTCCACATTTATAACCCCATTCGTCAATATTATTATCGTTATCTCATCATCATCACTAGCTCAAGTTTATTTTGAAGTTAATTTCATTCCCCAGCATTTCAATTACTTTGCAAGCCATACTCCAGTTCCCATTTATCATATTATTGTTCGGAAAAATCGCAAAAATAGACATTAAAAATAGAAAAATTGTAAAAAGGGATCCTATTACAATATTAGTATTGGTTTTGACAACAATTGATAAGCAAATGACAATAAAATGGGACGGTCCTCTTCTCATACGGCCTAGGCAACAAAATCCAAGCTCATAATTTTTCAAAAGATAAAAATTAAAAGAAGAAGAATAAAAGTAGTTGATATTGCCATTTCCGGTTTTAGAAATCTGGAAAGTCATGGAAAGTTCTTCCAACGCATGTTATCCTAATCCTGCAGATTAGTCAAAGCCGTGCTCAGAGAGTTTGAAACGTTACGTTGCAAAATTATTGATGGGACCTAATGAAATTTATCACATGAATTTTTACATTACATCCACTAATTACTTAGTTATATTATATATTACATAATCTTTATAAAATATTTATGTGTTATTATATTAAATATCAGTTTATAAGTCAGACGAATTAGTTTAGAAAAATAATAAATATAAATACTTTAAATTAAGTTATTTAATCTCTTCAAATTACTCAATTAGGCTTTATATTAGTGATTTAATATCATTTTCTGAGTTCTAAGTCTTTTCGGTTTTTTGACCTTTAAGTCAAACGAGCTCGGAATATATATCTTCCTCAACCAATCAAACTGACATTAATACATCTTATTCTAATTCTGATCAGTCAAAGCCGTGTTTATGGGGGTCCATAAAATTAAAGGAGTTCTTATTGTTCTTATACGGCATGAACAAAAATTTTCAACCATATAATCATCAATAATAATGTCCATAAATGACGGTGAAGTGATGATCAATTCAAGGAGTGTCACTTAGGTTTTCAAATTTCCATATTGTTAGCCATCTCGAAAATCATGGAAAGATTTTCCCTATATCTTCTGTAGGAAAATGGGTCAGTCCACCCTTAGTGGATTGGACCCAAACCCGTTTATGTTGGGACTTTGATGCAAATAACAGGAAATTTGGTTCTTTAATTGTGAGTTTCACCATTTTACATAAATTACACAAAAACAGGGAGGGAACGGTTAAACCGTGAGGAGGCAGTTTTTGTTTTCAAAAATTGAAGTTAATAAACTACCGCACGGATCAGTTGGGGGTGCATCATGTTTTTTCAACTCCTCCCTCCCATTCACTCTTCCTCCTCTACCAGTGTGCGTTTGTTATGTCTCCAAATCCGAGTTCAATACCGTAACTGGACCTCCGCGTGGCTATCTGAGATTATCATATACTCCAGGTACGCTTGAATTCATCATCTTCAAAAATAATGATACATGTGAATGACTGAAGGCACGAGACTTTGCTAGATAAAACTAATACTAATTTCAATTACATTAAAAGAAATTCAGTGTGCTTTATATTTTATACATGAATCTTGGTTCAAGCTTGATGGGTATATTAATCTACAGAGGAAGAAGGGGCAAAGGAAAAAAGGAAATCAACCTTCTTATATGCTATGAATAAAATTTCCAACTACATATTCATCAGCGATCTTTTTAACAAATAATGGTGACGGTAATGAATAAATTCATGGAGTGTCAATTACGTCGTGGGAAATTAATGACACAAGTCAGTCACGCATGCCACGACAGCCTCTTATGGTAGTATCTATATCTTGACGTGTAGAATAAAATGTAGAAGAGTTAAATGAGCTTTTTTTTTTCTTGTTATTTTTTTGTTTGACCAATATGGTGTTATCACCCAAACGAGCTCGGTATCCGCATATTCCTCAACCAATCAAAATGATGCAGGTATATTAATTTCAATAAAATTGAAAGAAATTCAGCAGTGACTTATATTTTAATATATTGATATTCGGGTCGCACCAATCACACATCAGTATGACCCATATGGTGTTATCACCCAAACCCTAGTTTATTAATGAATTAATTGATATTAAGATTATCCCATCATCACTTGTTGGAGTTGATTTTGAAGTTACTCTCATATCCCACCATTTTAATTATTTTGCAAGCCATTTATACACACACACACACACACACATATCCCAGTTCCCGTTCATCATATTATTGTTTCAACCAAAAACAATTTAATGTAGAGACTCGAAGTATGGATCAGAGGAAACATTTTGGTTGAAACAATAATATGATGAACGGGAACTGGGATATATGTGTGTGTGTGTGTATAAGTCACGGTTGAAACAATAATATGTTGAGAGAAAATTATGAATAAGTAAAAATGATATATGCTGATGAATAATTTAAAATTTTATTGAAGCCATGAGCCTCAGATAGATAAAATTAATATTAATTTCAATAAAATTAAAAGAAATTTGGCATGATTTGTATTTTGTACGTTGATCTTGGTTGAATTTTGATCTATATATTCATCCATTGAAGAAAGAAAAAGGAGACAGCATGAACAAAAATTTCCAACAACATAATCGTCAACGATAATTTCCACAAATGATGGTGATGTTAGATGAGTGTGTCACTTACGTTGTTCAAAATTAACGGCACAAATCAATCGTGCATGCAACGACAACCTTTTCTTTTTATCACTTTTAGACACCTCTCATGACCAGAATGCCTCAAATGAGAGTTATTAATTAATGTTAACTATTGATTAATTAATTTGAAGTTATAAATTAAATAATTATTTCAAATAAATTTTCATCAGCTGACTCAAACAATTTGCTTTATTAATAGAAAATTTAGACTTATCAAATTAATTAAATGATAAGAATGTTTTTATCGTCAATTGTTTTTACTTTAAATAAGAATTTTATAGTGCTTTTTCACAAAAGAAAAATATTCATCTATATATGGAATTATTAATTTTTATCACATTGATGAGAATAATTCTACCGTCTGTAATAAAATTGTTTGAAAAACATGGTCAATTTTTCGCTTGTAAATGGCCCAAGGATCATTAACTCCAAATCCACAAGGCGACTTCCCTGTTCTTACTATATCCAAATGAAAAGAATACCAAGCAAGTTCATCATCATGTTCAGCTCTAAGTTCAATTTCTTTTGGCTTGTTCGAGTTTTATATCTCTTTTGGTGTGCAGGATGTTCCAATATAAACATCAGTTGCGCAGTGACAGATAAGGAAGCTCTTCTCAAATTAAAAGATGGTTTCGTTGATGGGGGCGGCAGGTTGTCCACCTGGAAAAGTGAAGCTGATTGCTGTGAGTGGAATGGAGTAGTATGCAGTAATTTGACTGGTCATGTTATCAAGCTCGATCTTGTCCATTATGGTGATTCCGAGGAATTGAGAGGTAATATCGATTCCTCATTATGTGATTTGCAGCATCTAACTTACTTGTATCTCGATGGAAACAATTTCGAAGGGAGCAAAATTCCAGAATGCATTGGCTCACTTGGTCAACTAAGAGAGTTAACTATTTCGGGTGCTTCAATTGGTGGCACTATTCCCCGTGGACTGCAAAATCTATCCAATTTGCAAACTCTCGACCTTAGTGACAATCCTTTTAAAAGCGGACCATTTCCCGATTTTTCAAGATTTTCAAATCTGGTGACTTTAAGTCTTAAGAACACTAGTCTTCATGGGTCAATTCCACAATCATTTGGGCACTTAGCTCACCTTTCCAAATTGTATTTGAGTTATAACAATTTAACAGGGTCATTGCCGACGTTTGCTGGACTTGCATCGTTGGAGTACTTAGATCTGTCCAACAATAGGTTGAATTCTGTCATTAATGAAACACATCTTTCAACTCTCTCTAACTTGACAGTTTTAGGTGTGTCGCAAAATACGATTTTTTTCAACTTCAGTTCGCATTGGGTGCCACCTTTTCAATTGCAGGACTTTATAGCAGCATCGTGTAACTTTGGTGGCCACTTTCCCAGCTGGTTGAAGTATCAAAGGGAGCTTCACGCGTTGGAGATTTCTGATGCGTCAATTTCTGATTCAATTCCTCAATGGCTTTGGCTATCTTCTTTCAACTACTTGAATCTTTCCCATAACAAACTTTATGGGGAATTACCAAAATCAATCTTGAAATTTTATCATTATGTTTTGGATTTGAGCTTCAACAATCTGTCCAGTCCCATACCAGATTTACCAACAAGTGCAATGGCGTTGGTCCTCTCAAACAGTATGTTTTTAGGAACCTTATCTTTCATCTGTGCAACTGCTCAAGGAAGTGTATATCAGCTTGATATTTCATGCAACTTTTTGTCGGGAAAACTTCCTGACTGTGGGGACAACTTCCTTACTTGGCCGTTCTGAGATTGGAAAACAATCATTTCTACGGGGCAATACCAAATTCAATTGGTACTTTGAACAATCTTCAAATTATCCATCTGAATAACAATAAGCTCTCTGGGAATTTGCCATCTTCAATGAATTCTTCGTACTTGCAGTTCATTGATTTCGGACAGAATAATTTGACTGGAAAATTGCCATCATGGACAGGGCAGTACTTGCACAATTTGGTTGGCTTACGTTTGCAAGCAAATAGGCTTCACAGAAGCATTCCTACAAATTTGTGTAATTTGTCACATCTTCAAATCTTAGATCTCTCAAAAAATTACATAACAGGAAATATACCTCATTGCTTTGGTAATTTGAATGCTATGTCAAATATGACATCCATAAGCCAAGGAATTTCTTATGATATTCTTGGAAGCTTTACTACATCATCCTTTACGGACAAAGCAACATTGGCATGGAAAGGAGAATATGTTGAGTACAGTAAGAATCTTCGATTCATGAAAACCATTGATCTCTCTTGCAATCACTTAACAGGAGAAATCCCAAATAGCATAGCTGCACTTGTGGCATTGGCTTCCCTAAACTTGTCTAGAAATCATTTGAAAGGATCCATTCCCATTGAGATGGGTCAAATGGAAAAGTTGGAATCACTTGATTTGTCATACAACTCTCTTTCTGGTGAAATTCCTATAAGCTTCTCAAGTTTGAGTTTTCTTAGTATATTGAACTTGGCCTTCAACAATTCATCAGGAAAAATTCCAACTGGCACCCAACTTCAATCCTTCAATGCCTCCAGTTATACAGGAAACCAGGGGCTTTGTGGCCCCCCACTTACAGAGAGATGTCCAGGAGATGGGAGTTCAGATCTGAATCCCAACGCTCATGACATTGATACAGATGGAGATGATAATCTCATAAGCTTTGCGTTTTATGTGAGCATGGCTTTTGGTTTCATTACTGGGTTTTGGGGAGTTTGTGAGACTTTAATTCTTAAAAAGTCTTGGCGGCATTCCTTTTTTCACTTCTTTGAAAACATGTACAACTGGATTTATGTTCAAGTTGCTATTTTGAAGGCAAAGATAGAGAGAAGATTCCACAAAGACTAACAGGCAAGCAATTTTTTTACTATATAATTATGATACCTAGATAATAAGATTGTTCATTCGCTGGATTATTTTTGTGCATTGCAATATATGATCAAGCTTGAGAACTATTTACTATGATGATAAGTTCAAAGTTTTTTTTATATTTTTGTTCAAACAAATTTCTTAATGTTACATTTGTTTCTCTCAATCTCGTGTGAACATACAACTGCTATATAATGCAACCCTTCATGCTAGTTGAAGAGTAAGCACATTGTAACAAATTAGTGAATTGCTGTTAACATGTGACACATGTGAATTATATCTAAGCCTATATGTACTTCATATAATTTAAGAATTTGTGATGAATTTGCTTGATTACGAAGATGGGTGGAGAAAGTTGCAGAAAAAATAATATTGGTGGCGAGGTTTCGACTATTTTGGGATGGTGAATTATGAGCAAGCAAGACTGGATCTGCTCGATCTTCTACGTTACTCTCTTGTTTTGTTTATATTTCTTTCTCTTTATGTTTTGATGTAAGATGAAAGCTAGGTCACTTGTCAGTTGTTACGAAGTTCCCTAATCCATATTGAGTGAGATGTTTTGTGAATCACTGCAGAGTTTAATGTCAAATGAGCAACTTCGTCATATGTGGTTCTATTTCTTGGCAAAGAAAAAGTACGGTTCCTTTTAACCATTATGTTCATTACATATGTCATAGCCCTAATGTATACGTATGAAAGGTTGGTTAGTAATTTTTTCTAATTATTGTAGCCCAACAATAGGAGGAGCCTATATTTGGGCTTTTTCCAACCAAAATTACATAATTTAAATTATTTAAAGGCCTTAAATAATTAGAAAATGTGGGGAATAATTATTTGAGGATTGGAGTGAATTAACGGGAATAGTTACTTCCAATAAATGGAAGTTCTAAGTTCAAATTAATTTTTGGGCTTAGAAAAGATTATTATTATTATTATTACTTTTCCCAAAAAAAATTGAAGTTATATGCGGCCATATTGAATCCAATAAATGTAAGAAGAATTATCATATGAAAGGGTTTTTTTTAAAAGAAAGAAATATGACAATTTTCCTGATTAGGAATTTACCAAACAACTAATTATGGAATTTATTTCCAAGTTGAGCAAGGAGAACACCAAAATAGAGTCTGAGATAAAAGAGTGATAAGAGCCCATTTTGGGCCCAATTTGAAGGTAAGTGGCGTCACTTTTGCAGCCTGCTTGGGAGGATGTTATAACTATTATTTTCACTGGGCTTTGGTTTCAGCTAGCAGGGGATGAGAAACCGGAGAAGGAGGAGGAAAAGGGCAAAGAAATTTCTGGAACCAGGGTGAAGAGGAATTGGTGGTACATGCTATCCGCGTGGTTTAAGCAAGGAATTGGGAATACGGTTAATGGAAGATGGTGGTGGGGGTGTCCGATTGAAGTAGGTAGATATCCTTTGCATGCCTTGGTTTCTTTTCAAATCATGATTTCTCTCCGTTGCAAGTTGGGTCTGGTTAATGAATTGAGGCAGAAAATTTTGTGAGGTTGATGGGTTAGTTGAGATTTGCGTGATTGATTATTTACGGACTGCCATGTTTTCATTTAATTTTGTACTAAATGCATGCGCCCAAGGTGTTTGACGAATTGTGTGGTGGATAGAAATGATTTATTGTGAGGTATAACGGTGAAGAGTGTGTACTAAATTGAACCAGAGGCAAGTATTCTATATAATAATAGAGCGTTTTGGTTGATAAAAGAATGTATGAATTGAATTGGTTTAAGTTTCAGGTTTGTGCGAGGGTTAGGAGTTGAATTGTGGAATGCACTTGAAGTGTTTGTTAAATGTTCACGAGAAGAATTGGATTGGGAGGCTAGTAAAATTTGCCAGAAAGCTAAGGCTTATGCCATAGAAGGGCGAAAGAAACTTAATTAACGTTCAAGTTCATGAAGGGGATGATGGGACACTCATGGCTGACAAAATGCTTCGCCCAAAGGGAAAGTAGAAGATGTTATATTTCCAACTCGTGTCATTCGGTTACTTAGCTAATATTCAAGGGTGATAAAACTCAATCATTATTCGAATTTGTAACTTTAGTACTTGCAGAAAAAGAAAAAGAAAAAGAAAGGTTAAGATTCAAGTTCTCTTACTATATTAAATTGTTGCAAATTGAGGATTAAGATGGTGTATCTTGGCTGCCAAAATCATCGTGCTAAAGGGCTTATGCGGCATATTATTATTCACGATTGTAAGAGTAAAGAATAAGGATTATCTTGAAGTATAATGAAAGTGTGAATAGCATCCCATAAATAGGTTTTTATAAATGATATTTTCTTATTTGTTTTATTGTTATCTGGTTACCTCCTATTTTTCAAGTATTGTTTCATCAAAACAACCTCATTTGGTTTGTACCACTAATCGTTTCTATTTGTTCTATATTGTAAATTTCTTTTTTTTTTTTTTCATCTTGAAATGCTCTTGCTTGAGTTATTATTACTCGAAAAGATGATTTTTGTTCGTTGATGGAATTTGAGGAAAATATTTGAGATTTTGTGAACTTTTATGCTGGGGTCTTTTGTTATAAAATATTCTTTCCACATATATTCAATGATAGAAAAGATTCTTGTTTATTGATGATAATTGGCCCCATGCATGCTTGAAAATGATTTTTGTGAGAACTGAATACAGAACGCTGGTTATTAACAGCAGTATTGTTAGCCCTTGACGTGCCATGGTAATATCGAGCTCACTTGTTATTCGTGGTTTTAGCCATGCTTGTCATTCGTGGGCATTGTTCCTGCACTTGTTATTCATGGCTACAGCTGTGCTTGTATTGGTGCGCCATGTTAAATATCAAGCTCGCTTGATACTCGTGGGTATTGTTCCCACGATTGTTTCGTAGCTTCAGCTATACTTGTGCTCATGGCTCCAGCCGCGCTTGTTGGTTACTTACTCTCGTGGACTGTGCGTCCATGCTTGTTTGTTCTATTGAAGTCCTCCGTTGAAAAATGTTTTTCAACACTATCCGTGATTTGGTTTCAGAAAAATGTTGTTAAAATACCTTGTAAATTTTTGTATATTGAAAATGTTTTATAATTATATATATTCCATGTTTTAATGATTTTTTTAGAAAAAGAAATCGTAAATCGGTTAGTTATCTTGTTGTATTTATATAAGTTATTATTTTAGGATTTGTTTTATCTTTTTCTTATTAACGGGATGCTATTCACTACTAAAATTTATTTTGTCCTTAGATGGCACTGCTAACCTTGCACCTTTAACTAACTCTCATTACTGATCAAAGCTTAAGACAACTGCTAATTGATGTAAAACTAAGTTACATTTATGTAATTATTTATTTATGGGTTTTAGATCCTCCACACAATCGACAGGCAGGCCCTTGCCTATATTTATTATTTTAAGTATATGAATATGTTTGTATTGTTGTTGAGGAGAGGTCCTTCTTTTGTGTCGTGCCTGCGAATTATTTGCGAAGTTCTACTAATGGCCTTATATCTTGATTACAGGAGATTCATTCTATATGAATGTTATTATAATTATTATGGCAAGTGTTTATTCATATGTTTTAAGGCTTTAGGAATATGAGTTTTCTCATATTCTGTGCTGGTCACTCTTAAATTTTTGAGGTGTGACAATATAATTATCCACTAACATTGACTAATGGATCAAACTACTTTCAAAGATAATGGATCAAACAACAAAGGTAGTAGCGATTATGGGACAAACTTTTAAAGCCTTACTTGGTCAGATATTTTCTTCTTTTCACAAGTTGTTGACATCGGAGGGCTTCATCCCCAGGCATATATGGATGACCAAACTGACCATACACAGAAGCAATAATGTCTCCGGAGAAAAGAGGAAAAGAGAAGGGAAAGGAGGACGGCAAGAAAGGAGGGAGAAATCAAAAGAATAAAAGGTGAAGAGAACTCAGAGGAGGAGAAACTTAACAATATGCTTATTAAAATAAACATGTGTACAACGCAAATAAGTTGAGGTTCTATTTATAGGCCTCAATCTAACTCTAGAAATTAAATGCATAATATTCTAGAAATCTTAAAATCAAATGAAAATGATAATTAATAATACAAGATAGCAATCAATCAAAATTAAAACCAAATATTTCTAATCAATGTTTTAAAAGCCGGACCGGAAGTCGAACCGGAAAGATCAACGGGTCATGGTTCAATCGGTCGGATCGGTCGGACCGTTCGGTCAGACCGGTGACGCAATAATTAATTTAAAAAATATTATATACATATAATTAGTATATATGAAAAATATCAAATTATTAAATAATTTAGAAATGCATTTAAATAATCTAAAATTATAATAAAATCATTGAAAATGGACTAAAACCTTATATATTTAATTTTATGTATGTTTAAAATATTTAATGATATTACAAATTATCAATTCATTCAAATCAAAATATTTTTTTAAAAGATAGATCAAATATCGAAACAAAAAGACTAGCGACTCACGATTTTAACACCACAATATATGAAATTTTCAATGAAATAATACTATATGGTTATAACTAGTCTAAAAATATATTAGGATATTTAAGGGGATCAATTTTTTTATTTTTCTTCTATTTTTTAAAATTTTTTTAGTATTTTTCAGTCAGGCTAAAAAACCGTCCGGTTTTCTGAAAACCGTTCCGGTTCCCGGTCCAACTCCGGTTTCCGGCTTAATAACGGCTCAACTTCGGTCCAATCCGGCTCAACTATGTGAACGGTTTTTTGGTCCAAACCGAGCCGTTAACGAGTCCGGGTGACGGTTCAACCGGTCCGACCGTCCGGTCCGGTCCGGTTCTTTAATCATTGTTTCTAATAATGATAAATATATGAAATATCAAAAATTATAATTAGTCATGATTCCATATCCCATCACTCCGATTACCAGCAACCAAACCGTTTCAAGCTGATCAAAAGTATGCGTCTGGTTCAATCATCATCCCATCAACCACCAGTCACAGAATCAGATTGGGATTTCTGCT